CCAGTTTACAGGCATCATCAATATGATAAATTACATATACGATTAGTAAACATATTTAATAATAGTAATTTAATAAAATACATTTTTCCTACCTGTGTAGGACACACCAATTGTACTGGCATGGATAAGTATTATTGGAATTACATAAATTTGTTTCATTGTTAAATTATAAGGTTGCAGTCATTTTGTCTATGGGAACAATATGATAACTAGTCATTCAATGGAGCACATCAAGAAATATAGAAATATTGGGCTGAAATTATCCCGCATGCTCAAGGTCATTGGTGTAGTGAGACGCTCAAAGGTCATTTTCGTCCATGTTAGTCGGTTATGTTGGATTGTAGTTCCATAGCCGTTCGTTTAAACATTGGTTTTATGTTCTGTTGGCATTTATAGGAGATTCCCATGTACTGATAGCATTCTTTTGTAAAATAGTACTGTTCTTCACACGAAAATAGCCACATTTTGACGTAGTCTTCATTGAATGACACTATGTCGAAAGCTGCAGCTTCTGCAAGAAATAAACTATTTGTGTAGATGACAGTACCCACCAACTACCCCATCTTCTTCATTGTAGAGATGTTTTGACGCATTCAGCATGAAACACTAATCATTACAACCAATATCCTAAATGTGTCGCAGTCAGATTAAATGACGCAGACACCAACATAACTAGCCAGGAAATGAGAATTCCTATCAATCCAGAAAACATACAACAAAATTTTATTGAAAACTATTGACAAAACAAATTTGCCGAGCGAAATTTCAACCAACATGCCGGATAAGTCCAGCCGAAATATTGTCTTCGCATTAACAAAAAAAACCCAAGTATGTTTTGTATGGATTACAAATACTTGGGAAAAAATAAAGCTTGAAGTAATTCTTCCATATAACTTTGGTGTGTACGGCATCGAGTCTTATTCTTGATAATAATTTAAAATAAGTAATGCACTTGTATACTTTTGTCAGCATTTTCTTCGTAACATCACAAGTGAGTAGTACTCAAGGTAGACTAATAATAATGACAGTTTATATTTTCTTACAAACGGGTGTTTTCAAGAAATGCAAGCTATTTTGCAGAGAAGATCAGTTATGTTATAAGTTACATTCGTGAAGTATTATAAATCAATACCTTTTTATTGGTATAAAGATATATTTCACAACTGTAATCCAGGTTGCGTCGTTGGTGAAGGCAATGCGCAATTCACGAGGGAATTGTAAGTTATGGGACCAATAATGTTTGCAGATAATTTGTCATTGTAAATGGGCAAATATCTACATTCTTCGTTCTCATTCAGAAAGTCAAATGGAAGCTGAAATGGTGAGAGACAAAAGAAGACAAACAACAGCAACGCAAAAGAAAGCAAGTGGAGTACTTAGGGGGTGATTAATGTGTATATATACATTTATATTCTGTTTAGTAATTATAGATATTTTGGTGCACTAACTAACTATCCCCGTGATGCTAACTTTTATATTGTGTGAACTAATATTATTGTCCTGTGTAAAAATGTCTATCATGTACTTCCAATAATATAAAAATTGTAGTTTGTTGTAACTACACGTTTAATGAACTTAAAATATCTATGTTGGACGAAAAAGTGGGTGTAGGATTCAGATGCAGAAGTGCACTGTCATCTTTGAGCAGTCTGGTGACTGAGGAGAAGAACACTGAGAGTGTGTTTGCATCGCGCACATCAGCTGGTAGTCTATTCCAAATGACTGAAAACTTATTTAAGAAGGAATTATACCGCATGTAAGTCTGACAATGCCCTATAGCAACTAGGTTGTGATGATTTCTAAGATTGTAACTGATGACAGCGGTAGGTTTAATTATTGGCTCGGAGGAGTGCACGACCAGATTAGTTAGCTTGTAGTAAAAAATCAGGTTTAGCTTAAGACGTCTTTTCCAGAGTGGTTCTAAACTTAGTCTGTCGCAACGTTCATAGTATTGGAGACCACTTTCTAAACCAAGAATTCCTAAGGTGAATTGCCGTTGCACTCCTTCTAACGTAAGCTTGTCATTTTGTCTGAGTCCGCTAAGAATAAACGGGCAGTTTTCTAAAATAGGTCGGACACATACTTTATATAATAAAACCCTAGTTTCACAACAAAAGAAATTGCGAGTTATGCATCCTAGGAGCCTTCTTGTTTTACGTCTGGCATAATCAGTTTGTTCAGAGAACGTTAGGTTACTGGAGTATCTGATACCGAGATCTACGACTGAGTTGAGCTTGGCTAGTTTACGCCCATTTATTTCAAGATTCAGGTCAAGGTTACTGTTTCCGATACAAATCCAGCCGCATTTATCAATGTTGAACTTTAGACAGGATTCAGTACACCATGTTGCGAGACTACTTAGTTCAAGATGTATTTTATTCACCATATCGCTTAGTTCATGAGCGCAGCAGGAGTAAACGACTATGAGGTCGTCAGCATATAGGAATGATTTACCTGAGGTGAAGCAGTTGCAAATGCTGTTAATGTATACTGTAAATAAAAGTGGACCTAGGACACTACCTTGCACAACCCCACTTGTGATCTGTCTGGGATGAGACAACACAGATCCAACCTTGGTTATTTGTACCCTATTGCTTAGAAAGGATTTTAACCAGCTCAGTAATGGATTGCGAATCCCACATGAATACAGCTTCTCAAAGAGAATACTGTGAGATACCATGTCAAATGCCTAGATATATCGAAGTAGAGAACAACAACTAGCTTACGTGCTTCGCGACTACTAGTGACGCAGTTGAAAAAGTCGAAGTGGCAAGTAATCCTGTGTAGTCGAATTCTTCTGAACAATCTATTACAAATAACTAGTATCTCTTTCTATGCATATATAAACATAACTATGTACCTTTACATATTTTTATCTTCTCGTACCATTTCATATTGCCCCTTCGTTTCATATGTTTATAACTGAAATCTAGAAGGTAGACTGCAAATCTCTGATTTCCTTACTTTTTTACTGTACATATATATTCTTAAAATGCTGTTAGGGACGATACATACAAAATGGCTGACTGAAAGTAGTCGTTCATATCATGAGTTTCGTTGAGTTAGCTAGTGAAGGCAAACACTGTCTATATGACACTTTGCAATGAAAAAAGATTCTGTTTCTAAAAGCAAAAGGAGTATTTCGCCAGGGCCTAACAGATTAAAAGGTGGGAGGGTGGTGACTGCTATTCAGCGGATATGATGTTGGGGACTTAAGAGAATAATAGTAATATATTCTCATTTTTGTACATGAGGGACGCCAGTTACAGGCACCACCAATTCAATAAATTACACAAACGATAAGTAAGTATAGTTAGTAATGATAACATAATAAGGTACGTATTTATTCCTACAAATGTAGGACACACAAGTTATGTAGGCTTGGATAAGTATTATTCAAGTTATATATTTAAATTACATGATTTACGGTTAAATAACATGGTTGCTGTCATTTTATCTTTAGTTTGTGGGAAAAATCTGATAACCAGTGATTCAATGGAACACACCAAGAAATATAGAGATATCGACTTCGCATTAACAAAAAAACCCAAGTATGCGTTGGATGGACTACAGATACTTGGGAAAATAAACAAGGCTTGAAGTCAATTCCCCCATAAAACAATAAAATGCGTCTTATAATAATATATTCTCACTCCATGCACATGAGGGGCTCCAACTGACAGGCATCATCAATGGGATAATAATGCACACATGGAGTAGACATATTTAAAATTTTTCACTAACACAAGATATATATACAAGGGAAGATAATGGAATATTGACCGTTAGTACACTCTGCATAAGTGAAAACAGTTTATATGGCATAATCCTAGGCACCATTATTGTTTGAATTTGTTGAAAATGAGCGCAACAACTGAGCGTTGCGTTATATTCGTTCGATATGGTGGGCTACTCACAAAAGTACATAAATGGCTTATAAAACGTTAGTTAGTTTACCGTAAACGATGTTTTAAGCGGTATAATCTGCAAGAGGCTCACCACAGCAGTTGGTATCCAGTTAAACATGCAGCGGAGTATTCATAATTCAGCAATCAGTGAATTTTTCATTCTTTTCGGTCTGGAACCAGAGTAACTGCGAACCAATCCATACAAAAATGTCGAAAGAGGAGGAGCAGAATTTTACCATCGAATGAGTCAGTGGGATCTGAAATGCAGCTGTCAGCATATTTTCGTTATATCATAGATATCCAGGTTTATTGGCGCTGGATAGGTAGTGATTTGGATTTGTCATCGTGATCGTCATATGGATGAATATTCAAAAATGTACTGCAACTTGTTTGCCTTTCGGATTTAGTTAACTACATGTATATTTATTTCTTCCTGTTTATGCAGGAACATACCAATTGTACAGGCATGGATAAGTTATTAAATAAATTACACATGTTTCGATGTATGTTGAATTTACAGTTTGTTTGTTCTTTCTGACATTAGAGTCAGTCGGAACAATCTGCAAAATAGTCTGTCTGTGTAACACATAAAGAGATATAGAAATATTGTCTTCGCATTAACAGAAAACTTAGACATCGGATGAATGTAATACAAATATCTGGGAAAAATGAAGCTTGAAGTCAATTCTCCTGTATAACTTTGTTGTGGAGAGCATCCTTGACTTAAAGTTAATCGATTTATTATTTTGAGGTCAGTGATGTATTTATTCCATTTTTTCAGCATTCCAATTGTAGTTTTACAATAGGAAAGAAATTTGATCATGGATACGAAAACTAGATAAGGTCATGTTTTACTGTATGGGTTGGGTTTTGATTACTCTGCGATTTTGACATATTCCGCAGTGTCGCCGTGATGATGGGAAGTACGCATATGCTTTAAATGCATTACTTTTTTGGCTCCTACCTCCGCTGAGTGTATACAACGGGAACTGTGGATTTATGTATTTCCTCTCCACTGAGGATAAAATACCGTCGCATTCTTTTTGGAAACGAGACCAGTTGGTGGATTATAAATGATGTCCAAGTAACTTATTTCGTTCCATTTGATGTTGTGGTAAGTGTCGACCTGGTTTTCTCATATTTCATTCGTATGTTGGTTATGGTTCACGCTTTGTATCAGGTAGACATAATTCGATCGACTCTCGTTTGTATGGGTGTTATTTTCATGACTGTTGCTTTTTTGCCTGAAATTATAGGTAAATGCAAATGAAACAACAGGTGTATTCTCTAGGTTCATACATTAAATGGGCCTATAATTTCTGAAGCTCTTACATGGGAATTAGCACTGGTATCACTTGCAAACTCACTTAGTGTGTCATTAAGTGCCTTTTCGAAGGACACTGGTGACCTTGCTAGTCGCATTTCCTTAGGTAGTTCGCTCCATATTTGGGCATACCTAATCATGAAAAACTTTTGCCTGGTGGCTGTTTTACATTGTTCTATAGCAACCGTACCTTTAGTGTGTCTAAGGTTATATCCAGTGTCTTCTGAAAACCTAGTACAATTAGTAGGGGTATACACTATGTGGTTAAGAAGCTTATAGAAGAGTACCAGATTTAGTCGCAGTCGTCCTAACCATAATGTTTCTAGTCCTAGAATTTCACATTTGGTAGAGTAGTTTGTGCCGTTTTCGGTTCCGAGTACTTTTAGCGTGAAGTACCTCTGTACTCCTTCCACTTTTAGTTTGTCTTTTATGCGTGTACTACTAAATATGAATGAACAATAGTCTAGGAGTGGGCGCACACAAACCTTGTACAGTAGTATTCTGGATTCACTTCTGTAGAAGTTCCTGAGTAGGAAACCAATAAGCCTGCATGATCTCCATACTTGTTTCGAGATATGCTCAGAAAATGATAGATTGTGTGAATATTTCAGTCCTGGGTCTAGCACAGATTTGAGTCTGGGGATTTTGTGGCCCTGAATTGCTAGGTTGACTTTTAGGTTGGGACAGCCTATGCAGAGCCAGCCACACTTTTCGACATTAAACTCAAGTCTCCAGGTGTCACACCATATATCCATTTTTGTTAATTCTTCATGTATGGAGTTCATAGTTGTACCGATATCTGTATTTGTGCAGGTATATGTCACCTTTAAGTCATCTGCATACAGTATTGGCTTACCTATACTAAAGCACTCACATATACTGTTTATGTATATAATGAAAAGAAGGGGTCCCAATACACTCCCCTGGATGACACCACTGCTAATAGGCCTAGGCCTGGAGGTCATCGAGCCGATTTTTGTTGACTGATTTCTGTCATTGAGAAATGATTTTATCCAGTTGTGGAGGGGGTTGCGTATCCCTAGTGAGCATAGCCTGCTGACTAACAGACTATGTTGGACTCTGTCGAAGGCTTTCCTTATATCAAAATAAAGGACAATTACTAGTTCTCTCCTATCTCTTCTATAGGTGACTTCGTTGAAAAATTCTGTGTGGCAAGTGACGCAAGATCTTTTCTTAAGGAATCCGTGTTGTGACTGGTTGATGAGTTTGTGTGTTAGAAAGTAGTCTGATATTTGGTCTTTGATTACTTTCTCCATGATCCGTGATATGACAGGTGTTATATTGATAGGCTTATAATTACAGGCAGTAGTTTTGGCCCCTCCTTTATGCTTAGGTAGTATATACGTGCTTTTCCAAGTTCCAGGGTAGGTCCCAGTCACTAGTGAGAGGGTGAATATTCTAAGTAATAGTACCATCATATCCGTGCCACCGTTTTTGTATATGACAGATGGTATATCATCTATCCCACAACTACCGTTAGCTTTTGATGTCTTTACCGCTGATGCTATATTTTGTATATTAAAGTTGATTTCATTTAACTTGTAGTTATTTTTGCAGGTTATGTCGACGATTGAGGACGGATGCGCTTTGGTGCTATTGGAGATCACTAGTTTAGGAGTTCACAAATAATCTGGGGATCATCATAAATTATACCTTCATGCTCCAAGTGGCCAACATTATTGTCTTTACTCCTTTTTAGTCGTTTTTGAAAGATCTCGAAGAGTTCCTGAGTTTTAGAGTTGCCCCCTAGGGCTTCACTTTCCTCGAGTTGTGCCTTCATTTTATGTCTCTCCTCAAGATTTTTACATGTTTCATGTATCTGGTGTTTTAATCTCGTTTTGCGGTCTATGAATAGAGTTGGTGTCTTCAGGGCAGATTTTAGGGGTGCGATTGTATCTCTTATCGAACTGACCGTCTTGTAGAAGGTATCAAGTGTTACTTCTTAGTTATCATTTGTAAAGTATTCATCCCAGTCAGAGCTTCTCAAGAGCGTTGGTAGGAATTCCCAGTCGGCATTTCTATAGTCCCTATATTGATAGTGAACCGGGAAATTTTTAGGTGTGTGTTTAGTTGTTAGTTGAAGAATTAGGGTGCAGTACAGTATGTTGTGATCACTGTTGTCGAGTTTATCCCCCACCTCTATCGAGATCGGTTCTATTTTGTGGCAGAGGACCAAGTCGAGAATATTATTATGTCGTGTTGGGAGGCGCACGCACTGCTTCCATCCTCCTACATCTATAGCTTCTAGGAGCTCGTCATGGATTCTGGGTCCAGTGCAGGTATCCCAGTTCACTCCGGGGAGGTTACAATCGTCACAAATTATTTTGTAGTCGAATTCCAGAGTAGGTACATGCTCTAGTATTTCTACGATAACCGTATCAGTCCTTTTAGGGCTGCTGGGGGCTCTGTATATACATCCCACTAGAATTTTATTTTCATTCGTGTGGATGCTTATCCACTCAGATTCTGGGAGTTTGTCAATGGTTAGGTTTGTAAAAGTATTGGGGTCAGTGGATTTAGAAGCATATATTAGACACCCGCCTCCTCTTTTGTCCACTCTATCATTCCTGTGGATGTCATAGTTATCAATTATCAGCTTTGTGTCTGGTATATCATTAGTTAGCCAAGTTTCAGTTACCAGGATCAGTGTTGGCCGTTCCATGTATACCAAGCTGTGAAGGGAAGTTATTTTGTTAAGGAGAGATCGAGCATTTAAGAGCATAATTTTCAGAAAACCAGTTTTGTTGGGAGGGCAATTAGTGGGTTTTCTTGCTACTATCCCTAACTCCTGGTTGCCTATGTTATGTTCGGAGGGATTCTCAGATGAGACATTGTCAGCGTGTCTACTATTCCCTGAACAAACTGTGCTGCAAGAGGGGCTATTGTTTGCTGCGACCAAAAATAATCCTGTTGCATATATTGGTTTCTAGCCTCATTACGTGGGTATCTGGAATCATTCTTCTCCATTAGATAGTCTTTCAGTAATCAGATTGTTATTTACAGGGCCGCAATAACCTGTTTTTAGGTTGTTTTGAGGGCATTGCGTGCTAAGTTTTTCGCAGTTGTATATTTGTGGACTCATTACGTGCATGTACATAGAAGGACCGTGATTCAATCTATACCCGTTATGCCGATAGGGCTTAACGTAACTACTACGAGGGTTCGAGTATGCATTTCCGTTCATATAGCACCTAGTGGTGTCCCGTCTAGTAGCCCTTGTGTTTTCATGGGTCCCGTTCCCAGGTTATATGAGCCTATTGGCATATTACAACGTCGGCTATTACGGAAATTGTGGGTCTCACTCTGCTGTTTATTCGGCTCGACTCCCCTTGCGTGTCTGCTAGCGTGTGATTTTGTGTGGATAGAGCTATTTTTGCTGTTAGCTTTCACCTCGTGTAGTCTGTCATCCACAGTCTGTCTACTACTCTTAGTTCGACGAAGACACTTCCACTCTCATGTTCCGTCTCCTTTATGGGACCTGCCGTAATGCGTGCATGGTTCTTTTTTAAGCTTACATGCTGCTTGTTGGGCTTGTCACAATGGAGGTATGTGGACGCCTATGGAGAGACCTTGGTTTTAGGGGACTTTTTTTTCAGCTTTTACTGTGAGATTATCTTGCTTGGCCCTGGGTGTAGTGTTATCTGCCGATATTTGTAGGTTATCCGTAACGGAAGCATCTATGTCTACCTCATGTGCGAGGTCGGTAGCTTTCCTAGGAGTGTTCTCACGAACTTCGAGACCCATTCCAGTGTTACTGCCCCTTTTGGGTTTCCCTTCACCCTCGCGTGTCGTTTGTTTACCTGGTACAATGCAAGTGTCACTTTGTGGTTCAGTGTCCTTCGATACTTCGGCACTGATGCTATTCATGATTTGTGGTACAGTCCTGTTCGTATCTAAGGTATTTCTAGCTACTTGTCGTTGGTTGGGGGTTTTGTCCGAGACTATTTTAACATTTTTGAATTTCATAGTGGAGGCCAGAGTATCCCCAGATTTCCTAAATCGTTCGGCTATTATACAGCTGTCAAACCTGAAAGGTATGGGACATGTGCGGTTTGACTCTTTTTTATGTAGTCTAATACACTGACAGGGTGTACTTAAGAGGTTTGCAGCTCTTAACAAGGAGTGCTGAACCGACTTTATGGGCTCATTATCAGGTATGTTGTACACTATGGCGTTCTGTTTAGAAGCCAGTCTCTTATTAACTTCGCTCGACAGATAGTCCATAGCGTTCTCTCGCTCCTTAGCATGTTCAAATTCATCATCGGTTTGTTTAGTCTTCAATTTAAAGAGTTTTAGGAAAGTGGGATCCCCCAGTTCCTCTTTAAGATGGAAGATTGTTTCTGGTACCGGGTCAAGTAGATTTAGTTGGTTATCTCAGGCTTTTCTGATAGGATATCTTCCACCTGGATTACAGGTGATAGCATTATGTTGGAACCATTTGTATTGGGTGAACTGCTTATTACAGCTGATTTTAGGGGTGATAATGAGTTACTAGATAAGCTTAAGCTATTTTCTAAATTACTAGTGCTCCTAAGAACAAGCTTGTTAGAGTTTTTTCCCATTATAATTGGTGATAATATAGCAGAACCGAAATATGAATATCAGCGAAAACACGTGCAAAAGTGTCACCGTGAAGTATAGGAATGCGCTCTACTGCTAAGGCTCCTGAGTTTGAATAACTTCAACAGAAAGAAAACTAAAAGCTGCCTGTATGCCACAGCTTGTGTATAAACTCTCTGAAAACAAGTTCATGGTACGATTTCTCTACTTCAGAAGGACATCTAAATGTATAAATCAGAACAACAGTATAAGTAAATGTTATTATAATTCCTATTTTCTTCTACATATTTTATGTACTTTGGCGTTTGGATTTAACTTCTTCAGTTTCTATTCCCAGCATTACCCTATTTTGGTGTGAAAATCATCATCATTTGTTTCTCCCCAACTTTTTGTTTTATTTTATTATTATATTTTTTACTATCATAAACTTCAACTAACCGTTAGTATGTAACACTGTAAAACTCAATGACTACAAATTCTTTGTAATAAAAAGGAGGAATGAACCCTGTAGTTATCGCATATTGTTTCTCAAGCTTATAACAATTCTAAACTTATTCTAACCTATTCTTCGATAATGCCTCTTTATGGTAAATGAGGATTTTATCTACTCACTGTGTTCTGAAATAACTCTGGTCGTGCTTAAAAAGAGAGCTGGGTACTGAATTAAGTCTTCTCGTTCTGAAGTAACGCCAGTCCATGCTTAATATATATTGTGAGGGCTGGAACAACGCTGATAAGCAAATGCAGTAGGTTCTGATCTACTCCAGAAAATGCCTAGAAAAAGAACACGGTGCTGAATTAGTGCCAGTCATGCTGATACCAGTACTGAGTTCCAGTCTGTACCAGTGAAGAATCCATTTCAGAACAGGTTCAGAATTTACTCGCTGTAGAATTATTTCAGAATAAGTGAGATTTACTTCGGCACTGTAGTAAACTTAACTTGTTTAAATTATTGTTATTTGCTGGTTGCCTCTCCACCTCTCTTGCTGTTTTCTTCCGCCTTCTCTTTTCGAAGCTATTGCACTGGAGCACTACACATATATAGTATTGCTCCTTTCTACGTTTGTATTACTTGAACGGCAGTTTGAATTAACTAGAACCTACAGCCGGTAGATATTCAGAATATTGTTAGCACATACGATGGACAATGGAACAAATTCTATTCTGAGATCTGTTTATCATTGCGCAGTTGTTCCCTTGTATCTGGTAATACTCCACCCTATCATTCTAGAAAACTCAACCCGTCTTCTCCCTCTCGGCTTCCAGTCTAGACTCTGCTTTTTCATGTTACTTCAATGTCGGTCTATTCAGAGTATGTCCAGTTCATTTTCATTACCTTTGGCATATTTATAAGGCAATGGATTGTTGGCTGATTCATCCCCAGAGTTACTTGTTAATTATAATTTCTAACCATCTTACCAACAGAATCGAAAAAAACGCATCTAATGATGAAAATCTGCAGCAGCCTGTCAGAAGTGCTTCTGATATCACACGTCATTTCTGGGAATCACGTACGAGTACTAACTGACTGACTGATTGACTTCATACTAGTTTCAGAAGTTTGAATCTTTTTCTTAACTACTGTGAATATCTTCACTGATTTCTTCCGGAGGAACAGGCATCTGCCTCACATTCCCGATTCTGATTTCAAAAGTTTTATCCGTGCTCTCTGTTGTTAAAAAAGGATGCCTCCGAGGTCAGGTAGGTGAGAAAGAAACAAATTTCTTTAGATTTCTCCTTTAACGATGACTGGTGCTTCTGTTTTCAGTCGAGTATCTCCATTACATCAGTCTTCTATATCTTCAACTAAAAATACCGTCTCCGGTGTCTCACTTGACAAGTTGCTGCTTTTCTCTTCGAGTTCGCGCGACCTGAAACATACATGGCCGGTGGAACCCATGTATTCTACGGTCTTTTTGTTAGTCCAACATGTGCCCCTCTTCTCAACTTCTGCGGTCTGTCCAGTTCATCATACTTCGGAAGTTGATCGGTATTATTAGGCAGCATTATCTTACTCCTCCCTCCTT